AGGATGGAACGTGAAAGAGAGAAGGTTTCACGTTGATCATTTTTTTTTAATATGTTATGTACTGATTGTGCCATGGCTGAACTGTAAGCACTTTTTTGTTATCATCTTTTAACATGTTACTATTTGGTTCAGGAGCGAATTAGGATTGGCAAGGAACTCCTAGAAGCAAAGCGGATGGAAGAAGATAACGAAAGAAAGCGGTTTGTTTAATCTGTTTATAATGTCAGGCTTGTCAGCTCTATTATTTATTTGTGTTTTTGTTTATTAAAGTAACTTAGTAAATGGATGTGTATTTCAGTATAATCGCTTTGCGTAAAGCTGAGAAAGAAGAAGAAAGACGGGCTAGGGAAAGGATCCGTCAAAAAGTTGAAGAAGACAAGGTATCTTTAATGCAGTAGATCTACATACATTTTGCATTACATTTTTATTATGTCTCAGAAAAAACCTTGAGGATTCGTACTTACATTTTAACAGGCTGAAAGAAGGCGGAAACTTGGATTGCCTCCGGAAGATCCTTCAACTGCAAAACCCGCAGTGCCAGTTGTGGAGGAGAAGAAGGTAAGCAAAAAGTTTTCAAAAGCAAGATATATATACCATCTCCTGTTATGTGCTTTTCTTATGAAGACATCCTGGTTTTGTAGAGTTCATTGCCTATTAGACCCGCCACAAAGACTGAACAAATGAGAGAATGCTTGAGGTCCCTTAAGCAAACCCACAAGGTATATCAATCCACACATTCCACACAACAATAAGCGCACCTGAGTTTTTTTTTTAGATCCAGCCAGTAATCTTTAAGAAAAAGAGGAGAAAGGACCCTTTAATTTGGTGGTCTCTTGGAAACCTGTGTAATCGAAAATTTAGGTGAAAGTGGGAGACTAAAACTGTAAATTTGACTTGTTCTTGGGTTCAGGAGGATGATGCTAAAGTGAAGAGAGCGTTCCAAACGCTGCTGACTTACATGGGAAATGTTGCTAAAAATCCAGATGAGGAGAAATTCCGGAAAATTAGACTCACCAACCAAACATTTCAGGTAACCAATCTGCATAAAAATTTGCACCAGAATTTACTTGATTAGTCGACAATGATACGATGATAATCCAGTTTCTTACAAGTCATGGTTGTTGGGATGAAAATGTTATCAGGATAGGGTTGGTTCACTGAGAGGAGGCATAGAGTTCATGGAGCTATGTGGGTTTGAGGAAATGGAAGGAGGAGAGTTCTTGTTCTTACCGAGAGACAAGATCGATTCCGCCATTCTCAACTCAGCTGGAGCTGAGCTCAATTCCGCCATCAACAACCCTTTCTTTGGAGTTCTTTAAGCCTATGCATTCTCTTCTTCTTCTTTGTTTTGTCTTAATAAGTGAAAATTTGGATACTAAAACTAAAGCTCTTCAATTAATGTTTGGGAAAATCGCATAAAAAACCTTGAAGGTTGTAGAAGTATTAAAGGCAACTAACAACGAAAATGATAAAGCCGAAATTGAGTTATTGCGTGTGTGTCTCCTATCCCATTGCATCCGATTTTGTCTATAAGCTGGTTTATTTTTTAGGTTTCTTTATTTTGTATTGCCTCTACATTTGCTTATAATAATTTATCTCTATACTATTCTTATTCTTTTTTAAAGTACTACTCATGATGTACTTAACCTCTTAAGGGTTAAAGCTATGCTAGTCATTTTTATTTGTGTGTGTAAAATGTAACTTTGTTAATTCCAACTCAAATTTTTCTTTGTAAGGTGAAAATTTTCAACTTTCGCTAGCCCACTTTTGATCTGCATACTTAAAACTACTTGTGAAACTTTTCTTTATATGATTTTACATTTTACTTTTTTTTATAGCGGATATCAAAATTTGCCATGCGCGATTATTTTGTTTTATTCCCGGTTCCTCGACTTGGGATTTTGTTGGATCAATTACGCACATATAGAATGTTGGGGTGAAATGTATAAGGTTAATAAATATGAGAGACATTGTCTTGAATTACTTGACTTGTTGAGTAAGTATTTTAATATTCGATAAATTTGGAATATGGTGTAAATATTTTTTTCTTAATGATTTCAATCATGAAATCTGTTCCAAGATCTTCTAGATTCAATTTAACTCAACCACAAACACTTTCTTATACAAGAAGAAATACTGACATTGATCCATTGCTTAATAGACTTGAAAATGGAATCAATTCACCAATTAATCTCTTCCTCCCTTTGACCTCTTAATCCTTACGATTCCTTTCGATGGAGAAGGAATCAAAACCTCCTCTCTCTCTCACTTTACGTACGGTCACGTTCTCTCTTTTTGTTCTCACTATTCTTTCACGCATTCAATCATGTGTATTTATAACACATGAAAGGCCACGTCTCTTTATTATAACCGTCACTTATATGTCTCTATACAAAGCATTATCCACATGTAGTAATACTTA